GTGTCCAGGATTTTGATGGAGGCATCAGCAGAGCCTGTGGCTATGAGCTGTCCATCCCTGCTGTAGGTGGCCACCCTGCAGGGCCCTTTATGGGATGTCACGTAGCAGGTCTCATATTCAGATGCCTCGGGGGACATGGTCTGCACATCCGCATCGAATTCCAGGTCGATGCCGGTGCCCGGGGCCACGGTGTCCGAGCGGCCGATGGCGTACTGCACAGCACTGTCATCGTTCTCCATGCCTGGGGACACAGCAGGGCACACACTCAGGGCAGGGAGCTTCTCCTCAGCCCCTGCCACAGCTCCRGGAAAGGTTTGGGGAAAGGCAGCCCCGAGGGAAAGCTGAGCTGGCAGAGCAGGTTTGGTCACACAGCACTGGGGAGGGATGAATGARAGCAGAGCTGCACTGAGCAGGCACAGCCCTTCATTAAACTGTGGAATACCCCAGTGGGGACTGGTAAATGCACTGAGAATCAGTCACTGACCAGTTTTTCACAGGGGAGCAACAAGCCCCAACACCATCACGTGAGTTTTAAGGAAATCAGCATTTATTGATGCTTTTCCTATTTTATTGCACTGAAGGACAAAGCCAAACTCCACAAACTATCCCAGCACTGCAAGGGGAAAATGTTACTATTCTTCAAACCCAGAAATGTTACTATTCTTCAAACCCAGAAATGTTACTATTCTTCAAACCCACTTCAGAGACTTATTTCCAGGATGCAGCTACAGACCAGAGAGTTCTGCACTGGAAGTGGCAACAGGGCAGACAGAGAGTTTTCAGCCCAGTGATGATCTTTTTGCTGCTTTCCTCTGCTCGTTTCAAGTCTACAATTTGTATTTCAAACAGACACAAAGCTTCACAGATTTATACCCTCAGAACTCAGCTAGTTCAGGCAGCAGAACCAGTTGAGTTACACACGGTGCCATGGCCTGAGCTCTTCCAGGACTTGGGCAGTTTGTTCCAACAGCAGCTCAGGGGTTTTCCCTGTTTTCCCTACACTGTGGTGCTTGCAGAAGGAAGCACAGGGAGAGAACAGGTGCCAGCCCTGCTGAGGCCCCAGAGTATGAAGCTGTTTCCTGGGGACTGATATATATAAGCCAGCAGATTGCCAGTGGAAGGATTTTCTCCCTTTCCAACRTTGTCAGAATGATCAGACAGAAACTATTTATTTCTGAAGTCAGCAGAATTRTGAGGGTGAGGTTTTCCCTAAGGTCTGTGGGCTCTGTGATCCCATTCACGGGATGTTTAAGGAGGTTGTCGCTCACCCAGAACCCTGGGCAAGTGTCCTCAGGGGAGCTCAAACAGATTTGGGCAACACTCAAGGATCTGTTTTACTTTTAATAAAACAGGAATGCCTTTCTRAAAACCCCCCAGAGGCAAAGGCTGTACCCAAATGTACAAGTGTTGTGCTATTACCAGACAGCACCTTTGCATCAAAGATCTCATTCCAGCCACACCAACCTCTTAATTCCCTGGGGATTTAGAAACTAGACTTTTATGTCAGCTTTKGATTCCAGCTTACCTAACTTAATTAGGTGCAGCAGTTGTTCTGAGGGTGCACAGACAGACTGTGGTTTGATCTCATTTATCAAGCCATTGGCAATGTTGATGTATCCATCATAGAGCAGCTGACTAATTATCAGTTTGTAAAGTTGCTGGCGGTCTTTCAAACTGACTTTTGTCCTATACATTGTGAGCAGGGACTGCCTTGGGGGGGCCTGGAATGAAGAACAAAAATCACACACAAAAGTTGCAGGAAACCACCACAAGCTCTGAGCAAATCTCAGTGCAGGCACCAAATATTGCTGTGGTTTTGGCCAGAATCAGAGATGGGGGAGGAAAAGGAGGGAGAAAGGGGAGGAAAAGGGAGGGAGGAAAAGAAAGGGAAAAGGGGAGGAAATGGGGAGGGAAA